TGGGTGAAATTTTCCATGTCAAGATTTTTTAACAAAAGCTTGTATTTTGTTTTGAGTTCTCACTTTTTTCTGTTAATTTAAAACCTACGTTGTTTTCGAATCCCGCCAGGGACTTTGGACTTTTTATGGAACATCAGTGGTTCTACTTAGATGTCTATTCAAAATAATGTACGAATCTGTTAAAAATGTTGAAATATGCCACATTGCCCTTATTGTATTGGTGCGACGTCAAACCTTGCCAAAATCCTCTTCTTTTGTGAAGAAATTTCGTATGATTTGAATTTCTATATATTCAAAAACAAATAATTTGAATATGTTTCTACTTTTTAGTTATTGTTTGTTAATGCATTTTAATGATATGTACTTATATTATCTCCGAGTTACAACAAAAACCGTATTCTTTTATTTCACGAAACAGATCAAGTTAGTGGCTGTGATACGATATTTATAGATAATGGCTACGTAGTCACCTGTCCGACGTCACATGCGGGCACAAAGAAGGACTGTATGTATAGATGTTTTCAAGGTTATAAACCAGCCTCGAAGAGCGTTACTTGCGTAAGGAAGAAGTGGTTGACAAACGACACCTACAGTCAACCTTGTATAAAAGATGGTATGAGTACTATATCATATTAAAATATGTACAATAAAAAATACTAAGCCGAGTTGCTAAGGGCTCCAGATTCCGTATCATTATCTTTCAAACCTGCGGGTTCGAATTGTTCCAGCGACGTCGATTTTTTTCATGTGAGATAGTTACACATAGTTTGTGCTTTTTTTAAGCTCACCTGTCACAAAGTGACAGGGTGAGCTTTTTTGATCGCTTTTCGTCCGGCGTCCGTCCGTCCGTAAACTTTTACTTAAAATGATATCTCCTCATAAACCACTTAGCCAATTTCATCCAAACTACACAGGAATGTTCCTTTGGTGGTCACCTTTAAAAATTGTGCAAAGAATTTTATTCCATGCAGAAGTCTTGTTGCCATGGCAACCGAAAGTAAAAACTTTAAATATCTTCTTTTAAAAAACTCAAAGAGCTAGAGCTTAGATATTTGGCATGAAATATCTTCTAGTAAGTGTCTACCAAGTTTGTTCAAATTAAAGCCCTAGGATCAAAATTGGCCCCGCCCCAGGGGGTCATTGATTTTCCCTCTATGCATATAGTAAAAACTTAAAAAAATATTATTTTAAAGAACCCAAAGAGCTAGAGCAAAGATATTTAGCATGAAACATCTTCTAATGAGTGTCTACCAAGTTTGTTCAAATAAAAGCCCTGGGGTCAAAATTGGCCCCGCCACAGGGGGTCATTGATTTTCCCTATATGCATATAGTAAAAACTTAAAAAATCTTCTTTTAAAGAACACAAAGAGCTAGAGTTTAGATATTTAGCATGAAACATGTTCTAATGAGTGTCTACCAAGTTTGTTCAAATAAAAGAACTGGGGTCAAAATTGGCCCCGCCCCGGTGGTCATTGATTTTCCTTAAACGCGTATAGCAAAAACTTTAAAAAATCTTCTTTGAAAAAACCCAAAGAGCTAGAGTTTAGATATTAAGCATGAAACATCTTCTAGTGAGTGTCTACAAAGTTTGTTCAAATAAAAGCTCTGGAGTCAAAACTGGCCCCGCCCCAGGGGTGTCATTGTTTTTAACTATATGTGTATAGTAAAAACTTAAAAATCATCTTTTAAAAAACTCATTGAGCGAGAGCTTAGATGTTTAGCATGAAACATCTTCTTATGGGTGTCTACCAAGTTTGTTCAAATAAAAGCTCTTGGGTTAAAATTGGCCCTGCCGGGGTGGGGGCAGGTCATTGTTTTTCATTATATGTGTGTAGTAAAAACTTAACATCATGAAACATCTTCTAATGGGTGTCTTCCAAGTTTGTTCAAATAAAAGCCCTGGGGTTTAAACTGGCCCCGCTCCGGGGGCCTATATACAGGTGAGCGACCTCAGGGCCATCATGGCCCTCTTGTTAATTAAGCCGATGACAATTTTTAGGTTTTTTTTCCTCCACAGTAATACTTTTCTGTAACTTAACTTATTTTATCTTATTCGTTAAATGAAGAAAAATGATATATTAATCCAATAAACAATTGATAACCAGACTAGTCAAAAAAAGACATTTTCTAGTCTAATTTCCAGCGATATAATCACGTTCTTCGATAAATACTACCAAACATGGCCATGTGAAACAATCAGATTTTTTTCTCTTTTTTTTCAGGATCCATTGTGAAACCTACAGCGATGACCAAACCGCCAACGGTGACGACTACCAAGACTGCTCGTACAACGTATCTGGGATATTATGATGATCCAAATCTCAAAATGGATGTTAGCCCTGTAGTTTTTGTAGGAGCTGTTATTGGCGGTCTTGTTGTTTTAGGACTGCTTTTATTTGCAATATTTTTCAGGTAAATACACATATGTTTCATCATTATTGATTTGAAATATTTGATTATTCAACATGACTCACTATTGTTTTAGTGAAAAAAATCTTTCGGCTTACGTTTACGTATTTTTAAGTCATAATCCTGGACAAGCTAGTATTAGGTTTAAGGTGATAAACTTTTATTGAGCAGTGTCTCGAATCTCAGGATTTTAATTGGATACTATAAATTCTGTGCTGGCTTGCACCAATAACATTACTGAGATCTGAGTTTGAGCCTAGTAAATATCTTTATAAACCAGGACCTGGGTTCATTATAGGTAAACTTTTCCAAGACGCTATTTGAGCCTCATCCTTCACCTAAAATGTCATCATTTTTATCACTTTTATTTACATGTACATAATGGTTACCGTTTTATATTTAATGAAATGTTAAACATATCTCGATTTTAGATATAAACTTACGATTAAAGGACTGTAATAAAATACTGTTAAGTAACACATTTATGGTAGTGATATGATAACAATATGATAACATATAGTTAATAAGTGGTTTTATCATTTATTAAGCGGTCGTATATTTTTCATTGTAATTGACCCCCCCCACACACACACACACACATATATATACACTTTAAATAGCAGTTACTTCTTAATTTAAATACAACAGCAGATTTTCTCTCCGGAAGTGTTGAATTGTAAATAAGAATACCTTTGCGACATTAAGATATTAGATGCATTTATCTACATGTATATCTAATTTTTTTATTTCCAATTTTTAACAATATATTTTCGTTTTGTTATGATAGTGGATTTTCTTATATTTAGTTTTTCAGTAATTGAACAAATATAAAGTTAATAGTTTATGGATATAGTAATATTTGTGTTCATGTGCTTCTTAGAAACTAAACAAAATGCAATAAAATGAAAGATAGGTTGACTTATACAAGTGATGCTTTTGTAACAGTATAAACAATATCGTTGAATGCCCGTATCGGATTCTAATTTCGGTCCCAAATAAGTAATGAACCGAGAGAGGAATATTCATTGTCAGCTAAAATGTGTATGCTTCATAACGTAATTTTCATTGTATGCTAAACTATTTAGTTGCTTAAGTAAAGCTGTCGTTTAGTTTGAATTTTAAGGACTATTTTACTGTGTCAAATGTGATTTGTGTGATTTACAACTGTAGTTATTATTTTATCATTGCCGACAATTTTCAATTGTACAGCTATTTTTCACTATCAACTTTCATGAAAATCTTGTTAATAATTTAAGTGAACCAATAATGTTAATATTTATTCACTGTATAGCTTATATTTATTTACTGCAGAGCTCACCGGAAGACAACTCGGGACGCTAGGGCAAGATCTGCTGTTAGAGCTGCTTGTGATCCACTATCTATACAAAACGACTACACAAATAATAACACAGACATTCCTGTCGATGATTCTCATTATCGCGATATAGCCCGACGAATTGTACAGCAATCTCAAAGCCAACCAAATTTAGATGACTATACTCTCATCATAATCCTTATCGCGATATAGCCCGACGAACTGTATATCAATTGCAAAACCAACAAAGTACACCCAACCCGCCGCCATATTATACAAATTCTGCTGATAGCAATCCAAATGTCCAAAACAATCCATCTGGCCCGTGTAGCCCTCCAGCATATACAGATGACCAAAGCCATGACATTTTAATTGGACCACTTTCTCCACCCTATTCGGCAGTAAATATTTCTGGGCCTGGAAACCTGGACGCTGCAGCAAATGATGAACAAAACGCAATCCAGACAGAACGCACCAATGGAAATCATGAAAATATTACACATGGTATCAACACGCCCAGTGACAACCCACCTCCTTACGAGGAGGTACAAAAAGAAAATGTTTTGAATTTTAATGAAAAGGACCTAACTGGGATATCCACAACAAGCATTACCTTAGATCCCCCGCCACCTTACACATTGCCAGACGAGACAAATGAGGTGTAACACTGCTTTGAAATTGTTTAACCTTTGTGCTTATGCTTAACTTTTTATGCTGTTCATTAAATAATGTGAAAACGGAGCCAGATTAATCGGTGATAATATTCTGTAGATTAGCGTTATATTCAGTTGTTAACTTTATATTTAGGATGTAGGTCATATCTGGATCAGATATGCAGACTAAACGATATATCTGGACTACTGCATATGTTTACATGTATATAAGTAAAGGATAGTCCATGTGCCTTTTGTGTTTTTTTAACAAACAAAGTGCCTTATAACCAAATCACAAATGTATACTTTGTATATTATGCAGAAAATAGTAAAAACAATAAGTAGTGAAATTTATGTTGTGTTTTCAAGAGCATAATGTTATAAGGATCTCTTCATATAAATATAAACCAAGACGCTTCGCGATGGATAGCAAATAATGAATGAAATGCAACCCACACAGAACGCACCAGAGGAAAGCGTCAAACTATAACACGTGGTTTCAACGTGTACGTGCTTAGTGATAACCCATCTTCTTTCGAGAATGTGCGGGGAAACTTAGTTAATGCTGGATGTGTCTTTTTGATTTGTTGTTGTTGTTTTTTATAAGGAAGTCTTAAGTTAGGATCTTCTCATTAAAATTATAATTTTTATTTTGCAGTGAAATTCATCTTGTGTATTCAATATTCAAGAGCATTATGTTCATATTATAAAGGATCTCTTGTCATTAAGTAAAGGAGGCAAATTGATAAGGGACTATTATAAAGTCTATGTATTTTAAACACAAAGATATAATGTCCATATGATTGATTGAATCCTAGCGCATAATTTAATTAGACTAGCATATGTAATTAGATTTCCTCGTCTTTATTCGCTGTTCAGAATTTAACACTGCTTTAACTTAATAAAAGATTTTATCTGATATAAGAGAATATTTTATAGTTGCATGCCTCCAGATGAGCCAAAATATTACAAGAAAATCAAACTGAGAAAAAAATATTTTAAAAAAGATTTTAAGAAAATCAAAATGATTCAAGATTTAACGGCTAATAATATGTTTTGTGCGATTTATGATTCATTTTGCAGTACTTATTACTAGATTTCTGTTGCGTGACTGATGCAGTAAGGGCTTCTTTTTGCATATGTTGATCTTTTTTGTAATTTATGTGTTTTTGTAATAATTTTATTTTACTTTTGAATACATTTTCAAAATTTTTATAAAAATTAGCATGAATCTAGAGGCATGCTGCTTTAAGTGTCAATTTAGTGTTCAAATTTTTGGACGGGTTCCAAATTATTAAAGTACAAACTATGTACAAAACCTGAGTATGCAGTTTTCTCCTTAAACCAAATGTAATAATATGTTTGTATGTCCTATTGTGAGTTCTGTATATTTTTATGCCCCCCTTCGAAGAAGAGGGGGTATATTGTTTTGCTAATGTCGGTCTGTCTGTCTGTCGGTCGGTCGGTCGGTCGGTCGGTCTGTCGGTCTGTCCGTCGGTAGACCACATGGTTTCCGCTGATTATCTTGAAAAGTATGTATCACAAAGTCTTCATATTTCACATAGTGATTGGTCATAACCAGTAGATGACCCCTATTGATTTTGGGGTCACTAGGTCAAAGGTCAAGGTCACAGGGACCTTAAATGTCCAAATGGTTTCCGCTGATTATCTTGATAAGTATGTATCACAAAGTCTTCATATTTCACACAGTGATTGGTCTTAACTAGTAGATGACCCCTATTGATTTTGGGGTCACTAGGTCGAAGGTCAAGGTCACAGGGACCTAAAAATGTCAAAATGGTTTCCGCTGATTATCTTGAAAAGTATTTATCACAAAGTCTTCATATTTCACATAGTGATTGTTCATAACAAGTAGATGACCCCTATTGATTTTGGGGTCACTAGCTTAAAGATCAAGGTCACATGGACCTTTAATGTCAAAATAATTTCCGCTGATTATCTTGAAAAGAATGTATCACAAAGTCTTCATATTTCACACTAAGATTGGTCATCACTAGTAGATGACCCCTTTTGATTTTAGGTGTTACTAGGTCAAAGGTCAAGGTCACAGGGGCCTTAAATATCAAAATGGTTTCCGCTGATTATCTTGAAAAGCATGTATCACAAAGTCTTCATATTTCACATAGTGATTGGTCATCACAAATAGATGACCCCGATTGATTTTGGGGTCACTAGGTCAAAGGTCAAGGTCACATGGGCCTTAAATGTCAAAATGATTTCCGCTGATTATCTTGAAAAGTATGTTTCACAAAGTCTTCATATTTCACATAGTGATTGGTCATCACTAGTAGATGACCCCTATTGATTTTGGGGTCAATAGGTCAAAGGTCAAGGTCACAGGGGCCTTAAATGTCAAAATGGTTTCCGCTGATTATCTTGAAAAGTGTGTATCACAAAGTCTTCATATTTCACATAGTGATTGGTCATAACTAGTAGATGACCCCTATTGATTTTGGGGTCACTAGGTCAAAGGTCAAGGTCACAGGGGCCTTTAATGTTAAAATGGCTTTCGTTGATTTTTCCATAATTGAACACTTCCATGTACCCATTTTTGGCAAGTTTCTGTAATAAAATTACCAATTATATGAGTCAATGGCTAGAAAGGGGGGTATATGTGTCGTTCGACATTCTTGTTAATATTTTTTGTCGAAATTTATCAAAATTATAGATGAAATAAGACTTCTGTTTCATTATCCCTCATGTACAGACTCAATCAAACGGAGTCTGCAATTTTCATGTTAACTTGTTGTGATTAATGCTTACGAAGGATCACCCTTCTTCCAGATTATTTTAATGTGCGTTTCATGTTACTTTATGCATTGTGACATTGTTAACCATTTGATGAAATACTTTTTATAGTTTTCTTTAAAGATATTTTGTTAATTTTTATACTTTACACTCTTTTGTAAATAAAATGTTATTGAAATGAGTTTAGTTTATTTTTTTATTGTACATTGTACTAATTGTTTGACTTTATTTTATCTATTGTCACTTTTAAATAAGATTATTATGCATGGTTGCTCTTCTCCCATAGATATTTTAGATAATAAGTGTCGTAGCTGACGAGTTGTCTTCAAATAACTTTGACGAATCAGTGTTACAATAAACGCATGCGAAGGCACAACTGAATTAGAAATATTAAAATAATCACTCGGATGTACATGTTAGATACAAAATCACCAAACCTAGCATACACGATGAATATAAATAAAATATTCATATTTTCTCATTTTATTTAATTATAAGATTTATTTTTACAAGAAAAAAAATTTTTAATAATCAAATTTATTTATACAACAGTTTTGTATATGCCAAAAAGTGCAGCAATCAGATGAAAATTATAAGAAGTTCGTGTGATGTCCACCATCTACAGGTACTTGTATTCCATTGATCATAGAGGCTTTATCGCTCAGCAGAAACACTATGGCATTTACGACATCAATTTCCTCTGAATGAAAAACAACAAACAAATCTATTAGAACTCACAATACTCCAGACACTATCAATACTTTCTGCAGAAGTTTTTAATATTGAAAATTAAAGGGTAACTGCTTATTTGTAAGTGTTTCTTAGTGTGTTTGCTTTGAGAATAAAAAGCATTAGGACATACAAATGTAGTATTTGAATCATTTACTGCCGGTAATCAGAGGTTTCCGGAATCTACCCCAGACATCAAATCTCCTAACCTGCCCATTTCCTTATATGGATATGACCAGCTGACAGTTTTAGAACTGCTCATGATCAGTTTTATCGATTTGAATTTGAAATGCAGCCAGTCAGCCTTGCTTAACTTATGAATGGTTTCAATCTTTACTGCTAGCAAAACCTTCTCACCACTTCCGGTGGTTATAGCAGAAGGGTAAGGGATATGCCAACTTACCACCAACCTCACGATTTTAAACAAGTTCTTCTTTTAAAACACAACAATATACTGTTGTTTTTCATCAATGCAAGTCCCCTTTTAGCTTATAATATGTCCGTATTACGAGAGATACACACTGTCTATCGTACATGTATTAAAATGCAATAACTAGACGAGATTACAAAATCAGGATATCCACTTTTCTACCAGCTTTTTTAACTCGCAGTAACCAAGTGGGTCATTTGCAACGAAGCCGTTTTAGACTCGAACTCTATTTTTCAAATGTTTATGTATGCAATATTTAACCGGGAAATTAATAAAAACTATGATGCCGGCATGACAATTAAGCTATTCCTAACAGAAGAGGTAATTCGATGTAAGTGATTTAAGATTACCACAAAATTCTAAAATAATGTAGACCTTAGGACAAAAGTTGGACGAATTATTTGATATTATTAGGTATAACTGTACCTGCAAATCTTCCATTAGGTATTCTCTTTAGGATATTGTCAGCCACCCCTGGCGCTGACCATGCTGCTCGTCCCATTGTGGTCATCACCACGGTTGGGTTGACACTGTTCACTCTTATCTTGAAGAAAGAAGGCATGTAAATGTTAAAGAACGCCCAAAACCGCAAATCGGAAAATGCTAAGGCTCAGTTACATTGAGCCTGTTCATGGACATCAGTGTTAGATTTTATTTATCATCCATACACCTAGCGCAGGCTTAAGAGCATCTTTAAAATTCAACAATGAACAGTTTTCAGAATTAATTATGAATTAAGAATGTAGAACCTTCGATGTGACTATTGAGTGCCTTTCAAAGAAAGGTAGTGTATGGTCTTTAGTTAAACACACAACATATGATTACAACAAGTAAAACGGAAATGCTTCCTTCTAAATACCTTAACACAAAATTATAATTATAAGTGGCTAAATATATTACTAAGTATTTCGATTTACAAGACGAAACGTAAATTTTACAAGACGAAACGTTAATTCAATCCGCTTCTAAACCGCTCTTAGTATATGCAATTATCTAGCTTAATTATGTTTACTGGTTTTTGTGTCGCCTTGAAAAGGCGACATATAGGGGTTACTTTTGTCGGCGTCGTTGTCGGCGTCGGCGTCGGTGTAGGCGTCCCCTTAAGCTTGTCCGGAGCATAAGTCAGTCATTATAAGTCGGATTGACTTCAAACTTGGTATGTATGTTTCTTATAATGACTCGAAGTGCAGTGAACAAGAACCGGTACTTTGCACTTCTTAATTTTTGAGTTATTGCCCTTTGTTAATTTTCATACTTTATTTTTGTCCGGGCCATTTCTCCTAATGGAAAAAGGATAAGGACTTGAAACTTCATAGGATGATAGATCTTATTAAAAAAGTGCAGTGTACAAGAAGCGGTACTCTGCACTTCTTATTTTTTAGTTATTACCCTTTATTTATTTTCATTCTTTATTTTTGTCCAGGCCATTTCTCCTAAATTATAAAAGCTATAGACTTGAAACTTCATAGGATGATAGATCTTATTGATCAGAAGTGCAGTGCACAGAAACTGCTGCTCTGCACTTCTTATTATTTTAGTAATTGCCCTTTGTTAATTTTCATATTTCATTTTTGTTTTGGCCATTTCTCCTAAACTATATTGTCCACAAGGCGACACATCCGACTCGCGGAGTTCTAGTATATAAAAACAACGTTTCGGCAAGAGCTCAAACACCTTTCCAATTCTCTATTAGATATCAAATGATCTTAAATGAGTTGCCATGTATATTGCCATTAAATATGAATTATAAAACAAAAAACATTATATAGTTTGTTTGTTTGTTTGTTTGTTTTTGGTGAATTTTATTGTGTTTTTGTTTTTGTTTTGTTTTTTCGTTTTACGCTTGCATTTATAACACGTGGCTAATACGAGTATAGAGAAATTCGTAATTTCTTTATTACATTGGAAATAAATAATACAATGTGTTTAAAAACGGATTTTTTTATTTTCTTTGCTCACAACGATATAATGATCAAAAAACTACCATATTCATCTTATTTCTTAGCCACTACAGCTTATCCGCGGAAAATTAGAACATACACCGTATTAGTTATTTACTTTCATATCCATTAATGATACGTGCAAACATGAAACACGTACAGGTTATATCTTAAATTTTCAAACATCACAAAGGTGCTTATTCAAGAAATAGAACACGAACCTTATAGGGTCCAAATTCTAGAGCCATAGACTTTGTCATCATGTCCAGTGCTGCTTTAGTACAACTATATGTTCCTATTGAATGTACTGGATTAATTCCAGCAATACTAGACACGTTTACAATAGACCCACATCTTTCCTTCTCAATCATACATTTTACAACAGCCTGTATTTTATTATTAAATAAAACAAATAACTATTATGATAATAGTGAGAGGAGCTGAACGTTCGTTTTATTGTTTCAGACGGACAAACATAATGCTAATTATTTTGGAATCTGACACACACTGTTTTTACACTACCATTGTGGATATAACACTGTAGGCTCGTTAGTATTTTTGTCTAAAATCTTAAGTTATTTACTCGACGGTGTCTACTTTCAGCTACCAAAATCATGTGACCCGTTATAGTGTTGCTTTTTTAAATTCCACGCAACAAACACATTGACCTAAATTGATATACTGTCAAGTTACATAACTATGAAGGCGAAAAGGCAATTTGTTAAACAGAGAGTCAACCGAGGTAAGTTTTTGTATCATAATATATGTAAAGGTCTAGGTTTGACCAATCATAAATATTAATATTATATAAACTAAAGGGATGGCGCTCTTCGGAGAAAAGAAAAGATCGAAAAAGAAATAGAGTGTTTATCATATGCATGCGGCAAACAATATATGGCATGAATTTGTTCTTACATACATGTGTTTACATGCCGTATAACGAGACATTAAAATCCGGAAACAAAGTGATCCCTCACAAAAAAATTACATAAGAATTGCAGACTCGGTTTGATTGAGTCTGTACATGAGGAATAATGAATAAATGCAACATCCCTCATGCCCCCTAACACCGGCTTGAGCGGTACTCAATTCTCAACACTTAATAGTGCTGGCATCAATGATTCCGAAGGTTTGTTTGTTTGTTTCATTTTTACGCCTTTTCCCAACTAAATATAACAACACTGAATTGAAGTACGTGGCAACTTTTAACAGCTGCCACACGGCACTTGATACTTGCTGTTGTGCAGTATAAATATCCGGAAGCAAAGTGATCCCTCGGAAGCATTAATCACAACAAAATTACATAAGAATTGCAGACTCGGTTTGATTGAGTCTGTACATGAGGTACAGACATTAAAGTCGTACATTAAAGTCGTGATTACGTATATATCAGTTTGCAAGAAATGAGATTGTTTATACATGTATGTGTATATCTATTAATATGTCCTGCTGCAAGACAAGAAGTTAATTTTTTATATGTTTCTTTTTTGTAAGACATGTTCATCTCCATATAAATACAAAAACAAGATTTTCAACTTACCTGTGATATATTGAATGCTGCTTTTATATTAGTATTATACAAGCTGAAATGTCAAATATGATAGATTAAACGACTATGTCTTTTCAGCTAGCAAACGGAACGTCGGTTGCTCTACTCAGGTATAATTCATGCATGAAATAAGGCACGGTAGGGCCCCTGAAGTCCACCAGTAAAGCTCGAACGTCGTCACATAATCTGTATATTATCGGTGCAACGCAAAACCCAATCAAACAAACACGGCTATGTCCATGTGAGCTATTCGTTTGTTAACAATAACCATATCCATACAGATTTGCTCAAGGGCCGAATGCAAGTTCTCACTACACACTCTGGTTATCTATAGGAGATATTTGGTTGTATCAGCGGAAGACATCGAGTAAACACTAGATGTAAAATATCTAGTCACGACAAAGATCACGCCGTACATTATTGTAAATAGATCAGGAAAAAATGAGACCACAGTGTTCGAGCTATGCCAGCTTCCTCGGACTCTTCATGTGAGAAGGCTAACGAACCGTCGTTGGTTCGCCTCAGGAGCCAGTTTGTGCCTAAAATAATGTGCAGAGGGATATATAATCGCTATATGACCTGCACTGCATTGGTGCGACTTTAAACCCAATCAAAAAAAAAGATCTAACCTTACAAGACACATTGCTGTACTTACTAATCAAAATCTTCCTCTTTTATTTCCAGGTAAGGTTTCTTCCTATCTACAGCAGCATTGTTAACTAGCATATCAACAAGACCAATGTCCTCTATCAGTTTTCTTGTACTACTCCAATCACTTATATCTTGACTGTAAACCTCTATTGACGCATTCTAAATCACGGAGTAATCAACAAGTAATTACATAAGTGTCTCAGCACTGTAAGGGTTGAGAGATTCATTTTATTGTAACTGATATAGAGAAAACAAGTTTCCGGGATTCAAGCATTTAACCAGCGAAATTATGCTGTCATATTATGATTTAAGTAGATCTGTGTACATTTATTTAAGTCACGTTAGCATTATTCAAGTCACGTTTGATGTTGCGTGATACTTCAAAATGACAGTGCAAATATATTTTAACGATTTGCATATAACATATTGTTATCAACATTTTCTTGAGTTTTGATATCATTAAAAATGCAGTTAATTTTTTTAAGATTTAACTGTTTAATATTAAAGGCCAATATGATGCCTCAGAAATGCTATCATTTTTTATTTCTTACAGTTTCCAAATAAATACTCATTTGCTATATACAAGATGTATCTTTTGCATGTTTAGCACCTGTTGGCAATTGGTACAATTACAGAGAATTAGTATTTTGAATTATATTTTGTATGGAAGTCAAAACACTACTTTGTTTACATTTTGCTACCTTTACGACACATCACTGCATGTTTAGTGCTACTTTTTTTCTTGTTTAACATCTAACATGCTCTTAATCCATTATTTAAATAGTTTGACATTTCTGAAGAATAAAAAGGAATACAGATTTAGACTAATAATATTTAAACGGAAACAGGTGGTGGTTTGTACAGAGCTATTTAGGAATTTCTTTTCGATATTGATAATTTGATAACAGTACTTGCTTCATGCTTTAAGCTTTCCAAGTCCTTTGCAGTTCTACTTATAGCAATCACTTTAGCTCCCTGTTTTGCTAGTGTAATACATAACAATCGTCCAATACCTGTGAGAAAAATATTTTTTTAATTATACATAACCTTGATATTTTTTAAAGGGACATTAAAAGATTATTACATACGATAACATAATTCATGTATAGTGTAATTTTGAAAGATTCGCTATAATATCTCTTACCTAGTTATGCATAGTTATGATAATGAAAAATGAGAGACATGTGAATGGTTATTCAGTATGTTTTAATATTTTATGTGATATATCTAGTTTACATGCAAGAGAGTATACTGTCTGATTTTATTATATGCCAGTCGATATAAAAGATGCAAGTAAATCAATTAGTTTATAAATATTTGGCGGTGTTCTATATCTACGTGGTATTTTATACTGGATTCTATCATGACATGGATTTTGTCATATTTTTGTTTGTTAAAGACATAACGCCGAGCAACACCATGTAGTTGATACATACAAGTGCCTTCAACTTGTGTTGATGCATACAATATACAGAATGATTGAATGAACATAATGTGAACCCGATAAAGGTAATAATTAACAATGCTTTGGCAATCTAAAAAGAGCAAAGTCACGTGAGGTGCTAGTGTATAATACATTTTAGTCTGGCTATTTCAAAGCGTATAAAGCCCCTTGAGACTTAGTGTTTGTTTAAGGGTGGAGGCATCAGAAGTGCAGCCACCGCTTATCCCTGCGCCATCTTAAGAGGCGACAAAATGGGTTCGAATTACTGACACATGCATCTTTTAGCTACATCGAGCGTGTGAGGTGGTTTTGACCCTTGGTTTTTGCATTAAGTTTGAAACAACAGATGTTAACCAAAAAACCCACAAAAATTTAAAGCGTAACAAAAGATAATTAATACTAACTAATTTTGAGACTATACAGTTCTATAGCATTATGTAATATTAAGATAAAAGTTTACAAACACATACCTTTGCCCGCACCTGTAACGATAACTTTTTTCCCTTCAAAATATGGGTCCATTTTTAAAATAACATGAAACCTATCTATGTATGCCAAGTAAGAAAAAGTATATTTGTGCTAATTGCAATCGTGTCCAGTCATATATTAAATGCAGTATGTAGAGTTCATCTTTACAATTGTATGAACCCTTATCATATGTGTACAGGACATTAAATGTATGAAATAATCAAGCTAGGTTAACAGATAAGGGGTTAAAACTACAGCTTATCAATAAAAGATATTAGCTTGAATCAACTCGTTATTTCAAAAAGTAATGTACATATATGTACAAATATAAGTATCGCAAATAACGCGTATGTTGGTTATGTATATTTATTTGAGAAACCAATAAAGACTAGAACGAGTAGCGTCGTGATTAACAACTGTGCTTCTACAAGAGCTTAAGTAAACCAGAACTCTGTGACAATATTGAATTTCTTCTCGTATGTATAACAATTTGCGACACATAATCTTTGAGAAAGCTGATCGCGTAGACAGTACATTTTCAAAACTTATTTTTCTCCGTTTACTAAGAATGCAAGGATATTTGGTCAACACCTGTTCTGATTTACATAATCGATTAGTAATGGTCACAATAGATTTTAAATGTCTGTAGCTACGTAATAATGTAAAAATGTGATATTTCTCGGCGTAATAGATTGTAATGTATTGTCTCTTGAAATTCTGAATAGAATTGTTGGATATGTATGTTTAATATTTGTATGTATATGATTGTATGTGTACATGATATACTGAAATAAAGTATGAATATGTTACTAGATAAACTAAAGTAAGACCCATTTACATTGAACTGCTTCGCGATGACGTCACAACTCATAAGTTTGTAGCGCTCATCAAATTGGTTCGGTTGAAAAAAATCATTGTTGCCTCTACCTTACCAAGCAAGATATCAAAAATGGACTTTTCAATCTTTTTATTTGGACAAAACCATTTATCATTTTAAGTGAAATATTCGAAATATGTACCGGCTGCAGATCATGAATCTTTGTTTGAATTGAATGCCTGGGTACATGTAATATAGTCTTTTGTGAACAAACGGGTATATAGGTACTAGTATTTGCAAGAACAATTAGTCAATTTCGTTGATGAATTCAATTTTTCTGCTCAGTGATTTCACATTTTCACGGATCACTTATATCAAGACGTTCCCCATTTTACCATATTTCATTTTCTTGGCCATAACCATAATTAACCAATAAGTGAAAGAAAGAGCATCAAAACACAAGGCTATCTGATTTGTACGAGGGGGCGTAGCCTCTGAGTATTAATCAGATTGCCGAGAGTTTTGTGTTATTTTTCTTTTGTATCATAGGCAACAATAAATACACAAATATGAACCCGCTTCTGAATGTGGCATTTTTATCGTTATCACAAAGGTAAATTCCAGAAAAAATTAACCAATGAACCAGCTTCTGAATATGGCATTTTTATCGTTATGCCTTGCATTGTAGTCACAAAAAGTTAAGCCCAGAAAAAAAATCACTGGGCATGCTCTGGAGAGCGGGTAACTAATACAAGCACTCCAGTTAAAGCACTGTGCATGTATGTGTCTGACACGTTTTCAACAGAAAGGTCCCGAAACTATGATGCAACTTACAAATAAATTTGTATATCTAGGGCACATCGGGGAAATGTAAGTAATTGGAAACAACACGGTATGTACGAATAGGAATACTCTTTATATTGATATTTCAAACCACTGAATTTTGAAGGAATTGGTTGAAAGAAAATCCAAAATGATAACAGAATGTTGATGTACCGTTTGTATCCAAAATCTGGGGGCTACTGCAGTTGTAAATACACGTAAAAAGTACGATAGTACTGTTCTAGCATAAATGAGTACGTATTATACGGTAATTCAAAGTTTCTTTATCTGTTCCTCGGGTAATGAAAATAATGACACCATTTTGTCATGCTTTCATGTGCTTGTATGATGTCATTTGACAGCTATGTTTTCTAATGAAGTAACGGGGCGTCAATGCAGTAAAATATATTTACATGCCGCCCCGAGTCACACAATAAAACAAACGTGCAATAATGGCGCGTGCTCACGTGATTTTATCCGTTAATGCATTTTTTTATCCGTTAATATATACATTCGTGCTCAGCTGTTACGCAAGAGTGAAAATTAATGAGTAAGTTCAAATGAGTAACTGGGCTATAGAATAACTTTACTACAATTACATAATATTTTAAAGCGTTCACAAATATATCAGGTTCATTCAAATAATTGTATCAAAAGAAAGCAATACAAGTTTATATCATTTAAATTATTCAATCATACAATTTTTAACTAGCTTTAGATTGGATCATTAATCAATGCTACAGTTTAATAGCTACAATGAAAAATATTTCTAATCAAATTTTGCATCCAATTTTAGAATCATATAAAGCCGTTTGATGGACATTCTGTCAGTTTGCTTGTATCACACACAGCTCACAACCATACCGCCATCTACCGGCAATATTGCTCCGTTTATCATAGAAGACTTATCACTCAACAAAAATATCGTTGCATTCACCACATCTTCCTCTTCTGTAAACATAATACAAAAAATTGGTTCATAGAAACATGTCACCAAGAGTGCTCTGATACGAGACTTTATCATTTACAGACTCAGTCAAACCGATTCTGCAGTGTTCATGTAATTTTGTTGTGATCGATGCTTCCGAGGGATCACCTTTCACCAGATTTTTATATCGACTCGATACAAGAAGGCCCTGTTACATTGGCAAGATAATATTACATCATAACCTTAAGGAATTATATATATATACTCCACAATTACTATCGTAAGCACAGAGGTGTTGTTGTCGCAACGATCAAAGAATGCACAGAAAATATATTCTAGCATTTATTCAAACATCTTTTAAATGAAGCACTTTTTTACGCCAAAAATGTTATCATTATGAAATGTATGAAAAATGCAACAATTAAATAACTGCTAGCAAAATATCATTCTGATGTTTTATATACTAATAATATGTATTTGATCTGTATATTCGAAATAATGTTTCAACATTTCATTATTGCACGTTTCATGTAATGCGTTACTTCTGTGGAGGCGCGGACAGCAGCCTTCATTAACCCAATAGTGCATCTAAACTTATGTTAACCTAGGCCTAAAAATATCCATATTAACAATAATGGGTGGCTTTTATGTTCCTTCAAAACTAAATCAACAGTTAGAACATCTGCTAGATAATTAATATTATTTTAATAAGGGAAACTTTTATCTGATGTTACAACTTACCCGCCAAACGTCCAATGGGTATCTTAGCAATGGCATTGGCTTTCTTTACTGGATCACTCCATCCTCGTTTACCTAACTCCGTTAGAACAATAGTCGGATCTACGCTGTTTACACGAATCTTAAATTAAAGGAGTATTTAAAAATAGTTCCAGCTTTTCTGTTAGCAAGAATTCATACGCCTGTAGATGTATTGATTCATTTATGACAATTTCAATAAGTAATAACAATAAAAAAATCTTTAGTAAATGTTATGCAATTTTGCATGTATGCGGTGATATTAAAGCTAGACATAAGGGGATTTTTCGGACTTTATTTAGAAATTAAGAAGTCTTTGTCTATACAAGGAATGTAAGCTTTATGAAAGCTGTTTATCCGTTGAAAAAGGATTTTTTTAAAAGAAACAATCTATGCTCATTTGTCTAGACCTACCTTTTTAGGACCTAGCTCGTATGCAAGGGTCATTGCCAACATATCCAGGGCAGCTTTTGCTGTACAGTAGCACGTATGATTCGGAACTACACGCATTGCAGCGATGCTTGAAATATTAACAATAGCGCCACCTGTTCCACGTTCAGCCATTCCTCTAGCAACCACCTGCATTGTGAATCAACAGAACGATAAATTTGCACTTTTACGAAGTTTTTCTTTCAGTTTTGCTCAGATATTTATCGAATTGTCTATTGGTAACTTGTCTAACAAAATAATTATCATCCATACCCAAATTAAAAATTAGCGTTTCTGATAAAACTTTACTCTGTGGTCGCATCCATACAAAATATCAATTCACTTTAATTATACCAATTGCCAACAGAACTAAAGATGCAATATAGGAAATGAGTATGTTGTTTTGGAAACTGTAAAGCGATACCAAAAATAAACAGTTTTTGAGAAATGAAAATTATTTCTGATGCATGATGGACCTTTAACGATTCGTACGTGGTTGCAAAATATTCAGTTGAAATACGTTCTTCTAGAAAAAAAACAACAACGTGTCCTTGCACTTGCATACAAAATAGTAAAACTATTATGTTTATTATGAGGGATTTTAAGTATACGCACGATACGTATAAATCAAAATGATTTTTTTCTTCACCTGACATGTTATAATTGTTATGTCTTGTATGAGACAGTTATGCATCTACTATATTCTTCATTTGTCATGAAATTATCTAAATAAAAATCCTTAAAGAGGTCTAAAAAGGAGTAAATTTAGGATGGACTGCAATTTGCTTTTTTGTTCGATTTGCCTTAAAAAATGTTACATGTTGCATGGTCTTTTACAGTTATTAATAAATAATCTAAATAAAAAAAATTTATGTGGCAAGAAGAGGCAAATTTAAGATGGACAGCAATTTGTTTTGTTTGTTTTTCTTGTGGAACATTTTATACCTGAGAAATGTTGAATGCGGCACGGAAATTGATGTCATGCAAACTGAAAATGACAAAACAAATTTACTTAATGGATCATTTTTATATAATTATGAAATTAGAGGATCCATAATACTAAAGTGACATCATGCCCATCAGTGAGTGTAGTGTACTGATGAAAGTCTAATGAAGTTTATATTTTGACATACTACATTTCAGTTTGTCTGAACGATATATATATAACTAATGTGAGCCGATGAAAGTTCTATAGATACCGTCCAATCATCTGTAAAGTACAATTTGTAAAAAAAAGTGTGGCACAGTCTTTTCATATTTTTGACCGTTCTATATAATATTTTTTATTTAACACTTTTTAACACATTTCTAATATCAGCTATTGGTCAGTCATCATTATAACAGTGAATCTTTGAAATATAGTCAATTAAGCCCAACTTAACAATGAAACAAAAACAAGCATAATGTCACTTAATATTCGATATTGCCACCTTATATCTTAAACTGATGTTATATAACATGCAACAACAATAAATGATGTAATTGTTATCATTTTCAGCCAGTATTGGTTACCTGTGACGGCCTTTGTAAGTACATTGTATATTCATGAAGATTGATAAATTGATATTTTATATAATTGTGTTAGTGATTTACTTGTCTAATTCCTCTTTTGTGACGTCAAGGAAGCCTGTCCAGTTTGTAATACCAGCATTGTTGACCAACAGATCTATTGGTCCAAGCTCTCCAACAACTTTTCTAGTATTATCCCAGTCGGATATATCAACAAAACGAGTTTCTATCGACGGAACCTGAATTTAAAACGAAATTGTCAGTTTCAAAAACGAGATTATTTTATGGTAGGACAGGAAGTAATGGTAGGATATAAAACGACAAACATCGTTCTCGTAGTTTGTGTTTAGCCTTCCTTTTGGCCTCTTCTGAGAGGAACATTCTAGTTGAATTTTAAATTGTATTCATGGGTAAGTTATGATCTTATATTGAACTATTGGTTGCATATTACTGCTTAGTAGTATTCCATCAGCAAATATTTTACCATATTTTCCAATTCTGTAGATTTTATGGCGCTGTCTCTGTTATTTTTCATATGATCAGTATATTGAGCAAATATTTGAAAATTTAATTGTAATAAGTTAACACTTATCCCGCTGAATATGTGTAAACGGATTGTTCTGCTTTCAATGTGAAACAGCTGCTTTGAATTTCAAGTTATCAAAATATAAGAAAGAACTATCGAGAGAATAAAACCTGGTCTGACTTTACAGGCATGCAGGCTGACCTGGTTGCATGGCGGCTGCAGTCATATTACATTCAGTTTCAGCAGTATCATGAATTAGCTACAAATATCTTGTTGATATATGCTAGTGATTTAACTTTTATTACCTGTTGTTTAAGATTGTCAAGGTCAGATTGTGTTCTACTAATACCATATACCTTGGCACCAAGACTGGCTAACTTTACTGCTATAGCTCGACCTATACCTAGAAATACGTTATATAAAAGAACCTTTCAAAATACATGTATTATTTATATAATGTAGTGTTGGATAATATTTGTGCTTAGATGTATAGTTCTCTCTCGTACGAGTCATCTAGTCCAATTAAAGTTTAATATCTAAAATGATATAGCTATAAATTATTTGTAAGTTACTCGCAGCAATAAACTAAAGGCAATAGAAAGATTTACAAACTGGAAAGAGATTATAGTCAGAAAAAACATAAACAAAAGTCATTGACTTCCTTTTCAACCCTGTTTCTAAATTGTAGTATGATTTGGTTATTTATATATGTGTGTAATTAACAAGATAGATATTGTTAAAACTAAACTACCGGTAAAATACTGATAAATTTGTTAATTTGTCTATCAAAAGTATCCTTTTGCGGAAATGATTTAATATCCAGTTAACAGTTGCTTCGCCGTTTTTATGTTCATTTTCAGAATATGTTTAACGACTTTGCATTATATTGAATAGCACCTACCTTTGCCCGCTCCGGTGACAAGTGCGCGTTTACCCTGAAAACTTGTGTCTTCCATCGTTTTAACTTTTAACACTCCAGGACTGAACTTTAAATTTTATTTAACGTAACTAAATCTAGTTTGGTTCTATCTGCGATGTTATTATCATATAAATGTACTTCTTATCGGTCAGATAATGACAGACTGTGACAGAACATAGAATGTAATTTAATCAGCAATAAACGTGAGAGAAGAACAGTAACTGTGTATGCTTATCTGAGCATTTCATTACAATATATTTGCATTAAAGTAAACTTAAACAATTTGAATATCTTAAGAACGCTTCCCACTATTGCAAGTATTTCCATAGAGACTCCACTATGAAGTGTACACTCTCAGTCCAAGTAGGTACTAAATGGGGGTCTGTCAACCTCATGAAAATGTTATTTAGTGGTAGGTGACATAAACGGGCGTGTTAGAGCACGTGATTCCGGGCATTTACGTCATGCATTGGACGCTATGGTAACATTAATACAGTACATGTGCCTCGAGCATACATAATTTTCTCTCTTTTTCTAACATGGATATTTAACAGTTCGAAAAAAAATAATCTGGCGGGAAAAGTCACATGAAACACAACTGCTCAGAAACATATTTTCGTGGTTGAACTCAAATTTTCGAATTTGCCAAATTTGTCCGGGAACTTTTGTTGATATGGACTTAACGATATCCAAAATCCGTCATTGACCTCAATCCTGTGCTATAACAAATATATATTTCAATGTTGGGACCTCGTCAATTTTTTTTATATAAATATTGAATGTATGGAAGGTTTAAGGTGTCATCTTGGCGATTTCGTTGTTTACTCTATGTGCGATGATAGAATTCAGATTTCGGCATCCTACTGGCATGTTCTTCAATCATTTTAACAGGAATAATGCATGCTTTAAAGTGAATAAAATTATGAATTTCCAATGTTATACGTATCAGTCATTTAAATATTTAGATAAGTTGAAATGTACGCTTGTGGAAGGGGAACTAAATCAACAAGGAAACAAGAAAGAAGAAAACAAATCAACATAATAATTACTTTATTCGCTCCATTTCCTCTCCATTTTGAAGTCGTATTACCTGACACGAATTCAATGAAATAGGAAGCCACGGCATTAAAATCATTGTTTGTTCGTTAACTATTAACCATAAAACTCTTCGGGTGAACATGAAAGACAAAACCAACTACGATTATACTCGTAATACATTATAATAGTTTTCAGTTAAACATGTATCTATTTAAGTGTACATGTGTAACATATTGTTAACAGTTTTTATTAAAACATATTGTTTACAGTTTTTGTATTTTCTTATCGCAGATCAGAATGCTGACATTCAGTATCTGGAACAGCGCATACAACACAAAGTAGTTCTCAAAACAGTTTAAAACCAGCGATGTAAAAGATATAAACATATATATATAAGTATCCAACGAATTTTGTATTTTCTGATCGCAGATGATTATTAACAATGCCGGCTACATTGGCATCTTGTTCTATACGCCGTGTCAAATCGTACATAAGAAGTACGATGACGGGTGACAGGCTGTCCGATCTCGGCATTTTTTACATATAGAGAAATTGTTGTTGACCAACAAACTTGCTTCTGTGAAATTCAGAAAAATGGACTTTATCTAAGATTTACCCATGACTTTTGTATGATTTATCATGCTCAGTAAAGTTTGCATCTAACCAAATCCATAGTTTAAATATTATATCTATTACTTTGATATTTTTTCTTGAAAATACTTTGGAATTAGCATTTTATTCTTTTTACTCCACTTGCTTTCGGCTTCTGAGCCGCTTTGTTCACCTGACCCCATTTCGTTGGCTTATACAAGTTGAAAAAGCTGACTACGTGCCTGTTATGTATTCATGGAGCGTAGTAAGTATGAAGTAAAGTTCCGTAAAAAGATAAGTACATGTATTTAACCCGTTGCATGTTTGATATTTCTTTAAAATGTAGAAACGTGCCCGAAATGCATCAGAAGCCAAGAATCAAAGAAAAACTGGCATTTAGTAAATGTTCTTGCATGTAAGACTGAAATCTGGAAAATTGTAGAAACACAAACTTATGTTTTGGTACGTGAAAATGCATAAATTTGTATAATTTTTGTCAGAGATCGACTATAATTTAAAACCACGGCTTAAGCACAGGTTTAAGAAAAAATATGCAAACACTATTATTCAAAATATGCACCGCTTAACATTTTATTGGGGAGAACCCCAATGCCCCCCCCCACCCCGTTAAAGGGGGATTTTATTCGTTTCAAGCCGAAAATGTCTGGATTTATAGTGCACGTGATCCCCGTTAATTATAAAAAAATTCATACCTTATGATGTAACTTTAATGCAATCTAGGAACAGTGACTTTTCCCTTTGCTGAGATTTATTTATATACATCGTCATAAGTATAAACAGTCTTGCTATGTAAATATTGTAAAATATTATCCCACAAAATAAAAAACTTTCTGGCATATTGTTACAATGTACTATTATTACAATAAATACAATGTGTTGTGGTTGTTCTTGTTTGGTTGTTATTTTTATTGTTTATGGGGAAATGATTGTTTGGTTTTTTGTTTGTTTGATTTTTCTTTATAACATTTTTTAATTAATTTTCCTAATTAATTCAATGCAAACCTTATTTTATTTCGTCATGACCATGAAATAACTGTGCGGTTATTTCTTTTGTCTTATTTTGAGTGGTAGAAGTTTACAGACCTTTTATGTAAGTTTATCAGTTTTGTTTGTATATCTAATATACCTAGGTTTGTGTGTACAGGTTTTAAATAATTCAATTTATGTAGGCATACATGCTTTTCCATAGTTTCCAAAGCATTCACTCACTCTAAACGTTAGATTGTTACAATACAAGGGTATTAAATCCAATCGAAAAGTGAAAGACTATATTACAGGTCACGAGACCAACTCGGGTACCTGTTATTCGACATGCTTTATTCCTGAGCTATCTATGCACTAACATTCCATTTTAAACATTTAGATACAAATCATTCTAAACAAAAGGGTTATGTGGCGTAAACTTCTATGTGCATAGACCCTGGAGATCGCCGTGTAATATAAACCCCTGTAAAAAGCTTTGTAATGCAGTAACTTCATGAACAATATATAACATAGATGTGCATAGACGTTCGTAAGTAATGGATGTTAAAATGGGAACAATTTTGTTATGAATTTCCTTTATACCAATACTGTTTACAGGTATAATAATTATTACATTATATATGCACTTTTTTCTGTAAACTTTTTTTAATGTAATTTCTTTCAGATTTCTTCTTTCCCGATGGCAGGTTTAGATTTGTAATTGTCATAATATAGATTTTAAAACGTTACACAATATTTCATCCCACAGACGTATTTTACATGAAAAAGTTAAGAAAACACATTTTGAAACTTATTTTTTCGTGTTGTCATGGAAATTAAGGTTATGTTAAGAAAATTTAGTTTGATTATAGAAGATGAGAAGTTTCACCCGAGGGAATTTAAATGAATATATAGGTTTAGTACATAATTCATTGATAGAATTAGATAAAATTATATTATGAAAACCTTTCTCAAGGAGATATAATATTCCATTCATCACAATAAAATAAATAAAGTGATTTTATTGTCAAAGACGCAATAAATTAACTTTGTACCATGTACTTTTTACGGGAGCGACAGAGGTATATGACACGGAGTAATATATGCATAAAGAATTACAATATACATTTTGTAGTTCACTTAATAACTAATCATATGGCCGCAAACTTTTCGAAACATGGTTTCGACCTATTGACGTGGGCTTTAAAAATATTCGCTGAAAAAGCTTTACGCAATATATTGTTAAATAAGTCCAACCGCTCTTTCAGACACTGAGGGTTCAGAAAATTATCAAAATATAAGTTTAAAATGCCAATATTTTGTCTATTCCCATCATGCAGCAGTAAATGGACTTTACAATTGCACCGTAGGCAACGTGTTTTCCAGTTAAATTTAGAATATTCAAGATGAAGGGTTAAATTTTCAGTACAGAAATTCAAATATACAGGAGGTAATTTTCTGTCACCTCAGTTAAGGCATCGAGCACAAAAATAAGTATAAACACTGACCGAAAACGGTTTACAAGTAGCAAAACTTGCTGGGACAAGCTAAATATTTTCCATGTAATAATAAAATATTAAACAAGTACAAATGTTGCTGCAATGCAGCAATTGAGAAGCTCCGCGCAAAAAATGCGCTCATTACAGATACCTTACCAAATTATTTCTACGCACAGGTCATGTCATATTCAGATCAAGTACTATTGTACATATTTTCCGAATGTTTTGTAAATTATTTTTTGCATAATTATACTTATCTTATGCACTGTCCATAAGAGAGGGGCCAGATATATAATTTAAAAAAATCTATCACTGATGCCTACCTGGTACGGAAAGTAATTCCATTGAATACAAACAAGACTTACAAGACTTTTAAATGTTATGTGACATGACTGTACTGTGTTCTGTTTGTGTCACTACTGTAGTCAGTAACATAAGATGATAAAAATATCAAAGTCTGTTTTTTATTATTATTACAATTGTAACAAATATACAAATAGTAACAAAAGGTACCAATATTATAATATAGTAATATTACATGCATTTTTTCATGTCAAATTGAAAAAAGAAATGGTTTCTTTCAATACTAAAAGTAGAACACACACTTGAATGAAAAAATGGGATGAATTTCAAAAATACCAAATTCAGGAATTTTTGTTTGTTATACACGCGTTACATGGGGATACAGTATTTATCAATATAATAGAAGACTGTTACCTGAATTTTAAGCAGGTATGAGGAAATTTACTAGCATCATGTTCGTGCAAGTCAAAGATATCAAAGCTACTTGTCATTGGTGATATATAAAAAGCTATTGTTAATTGATTTACTGGGAGATCAATATACTATTTTGTTGAATTGCTTTAAAACCCTCTGTGTTTACATTCATAAAAAAACATTACACCTCATGCCTGTGGGCGCGGAGCAATAAACAGTAGCCGATTCTTATGGCCATGGCATAGGTGTTTACAACTTAACAGTTATTCTAAATTTCGATTTAGAGAGCATGTCAATGTCAATATACATATTTGTCTTGCTTTTGAATTTTTAACAGTCCATTCAAATTGTTAGGGATTTGTATATTAAAATATAGAACAGTACAGAGTTTTGTCATGTGCACATACCAACAGACTCGCTCCGCTCTATATTGGTGACAAAGGAAAATTAATTCTTAAACAAAAACAACAACAACAACAACAAAACTGCCAGCAAGCTGACATACATATACAGTTGTAAATTATGCTGAAAGCAAAATTACAAATAACAAACATGGCAGTAATATAAACTTAGTATAAACATGTATAATAATATAGACGTGAATAAGATAAACTTTGCCACTATTGTTGTATAATTGAAGCTACAGCTAGTAAAACATGAAGCAGAAATTACAAACAGCCAAATAATGCACTTTAGAGGAAAGTGCGTTTTTAAACGACGAAAATTGTTCCTAACGAAAAGGAGCAATGTTTAAACTCTAAATATGCTCACCAGAGTAAGAATTTTCATAAAAAATGGTTTGTTCAGCCGTTTTTTTTGTTTGTTTTTTTTGTTTTTTTTGTAGATGTGAAAAGTTTTGAGCAATGCGGTAGCGAAGTCTGTGGAGATGGGTATCATTGTTGTGAAAACAACTTAGAATGCTGGTAAATATAAATCTATACACAGGGAATTATGTTCCATTTTTTCATCAGTTAATAAATGTGATGTACATCATCACACCGTACAATCAAATGGGCAGACAGCTGTTCCAGCGTCCACAGCTGTACCAGTATATACATGTCGGCGCGGGGAATACAGTTGATGTACGGTAAGTATTCATCTATTTTTAACATATCCCAACTGTATTCGAGTAAATCAATGTTATGGATTCATAGTCAACATCCAAAGGAGCTAACAAATTCCTGGCCCTGTGCAAGCTTTACTTCACATGAATTTTGATTGAAAATAACCACTCTTTCCGATGAGATGCGGTATTTTTAGTTTGAAGTCACAAAAACTTATATTTTCTCATGATAATTAATCCTTTTTTCATACGATTCGTAAACGTCAACATTTTGTCATTAAATATTCCAAACCATACCTCCAAAAAAGTTTTTCTGTTAAAGTTATAAGGTATTTAAGTTTGTGTGTCATCAAAATTTTAGTAACGTCATCAGCTGGTCGCCTCTTTTTAATGATAACATCGACAGCAATTCATCGGCAAGAACGAATAACGCTGAAAGCTGTTCAAAGAAACAATTACATGTATTAACAACAGCGCTTTTGTCCTACAGTAATTAGGAAAGAGTAAAACATTTTTGTTAATTTAGAATGTTACTTTATTCACGATACTTTCTAATTATATTATTTTTATAATTACTTTCTATTATTTGTTATATCTTAGGTTAGAGACCTTGATCTCCATTTACCGCACTGTATTTCAATACAGAAAGGTAGCAAAACCTATTAAAGGGACTCCATTAAGGTTTTTTGACATGACGGGACTGGAAATAATTTTTTGAGATTATTTCTCCATTTGATGTAGATATATACTAATAACTTATATGCAAAATTTCCGATCATTAGCTTGCTCCGTTTTTCCAGAATATTATAATAGTGAACAAATGACCCAAAATTGAAAAAAGTTTAAACGCTTTTCACTCAAATTGGACTGAAAATAGCACAAACATATTATTTTCAATGTATTTCTCCTATATTTTTTGGTTTTATTTTATTAATATTTATGTTTTAGTGCTCATGTTTTTTTTTTATGTGAAAAAATAAAATTTCATGTTTTTAGGCTTATAAACCTCAGCGGAGTTCCTGTAATAGGTTTATGAAATGTTTAAGTCAAAAGGCAAAGGCAAATTTAACGCTTAATATGAATATTCAGTCTTGTAAATGAAGGCATCCATCAAGTGTTATTATAAATAAAGGCATATAATGGACAAGTCCTATGCAGTGAATGGCTAGTAACCCGAGATATGAATGTGCATGGAAAAACACGTTGTTATCTATCCTTGAAATCTGTTTTAATGTATAGTGCAATAGAAATAATAACCATTCTTAAAAATTATTTAAATTTTTATTTTTTAAATAAATCATTTTATATGACAGACATCTCGGGTAACACATCCATTTACTGCATGGGACATGTCTACTATATGCCATTATTTATAATAACACTTGATGGAATTAGTTATAATAAAGAGTATTCGTATTAAGCGTTAAATTTGCCTTTACTTTCTTTGAATTTAACATTTCAGAAACATATTAATAGATCTTGCTACCTTTTTATATTATAATAATAATAATAATAATATCTTTATTTAAAGAAGGTTATACATTAATAACATACAATAACAATCATATATATCTTATTTCCAATGTGGCCTTCTGAAACAGAAAACAACAACAACAACAGGACATGCATAGGAAGAAAAATGAATGTATAATATGTAATTTTTAGAATATTACAACTCATATACTTTCTACAGACAATTTGTTTTAACATATACGTATATTGCATCATTCGTTCATTCGTTCGTTCATTTATTAATTAATTAATTCATTCATTCATTCATTCACTTATTCATTCATTCATATGAACAATATCAATATTGAAATACAGTGTGGTAAATGGAGATATAGGCCTCTAACCTAAGATACAACAAATGATAGAAAGTAATAATAAAAATAATATAATTAGAAAGTATCATGAATAAAGTAATATTTTAAATGAACAAAAATGTTTTACTTTTTCCTAGTAACTGTAGCACAAATGCGCTGAAAATTATTTCTTTGAACAGCTTTCAGCGTTATTCATCCTTGCCGATGAATTGCTGTCGATGTTATCATTAAAAAGAGGCGAACAGCTGATGACGTTACTAAAATTTTGATGACTCTCAAACTTAAATACTTTATAACTTTAACAGAAAAGATTTTTTGAAGGTATGGTTTGGAATATTTAATGACAAAATGTTGACGTTTACGAATCATATGAAAAAAGGATTAATTATCATGAGAAAATATAAGTTTTTGTGACTTCAAACTAAAAATACCGCATCTCATCGGAAAGAGTGGTTATTTTCAATCAAAATTCATGTGAAGTAAAGCTTGCACAGGGCCAGAAATTTGTTAGCATGCTTCTATGGATGTTGACTATGAATCCATAACATTGATTTTCTCTAACACAGTTTGGACATGTTAAAAATAGATGATTTCTTATTGTACGTCAATTGTATTCCCCGCGCCGACATGTATATACTGGTACAGCTGTGGACGCTGGAACAGCTGTCTGCCCATTTGATTGTACGGTGTGATCATATTTTTCATCACTTTGCTCTCACGGTAACTCTGTGTATGCTCCCGCCTCATGCTACTATTTCCATTTGTTACCATTATCTCAGATAACTGTCATGCTTCTATTACTGTCATCTGTTACCATTAACTCAGATTACTGCCATGATACTATTTCCGTCATCTGTATGACTGCAATGCTACTATTTCCGTCATCTGTTAACATTATCTCAGATAACTGCCATGCTACTATTTCCATTTGTTACCATAATCTCAGATAACTGTCATGCTACTATTACTGTCATCTGTTTCCATTAACTCAGATTACTGCCATGATACTATTTCCGTCATCTGTATGACTGCAATGCTACTATTTCCGTCATCTGTTAACATTATCTCAGATAACTGCCATGCTACTATTTCCGTCATCTGTAACCATTATCTCAGATAACTGCCATGCTACTATTTCCGTCATCTGTAACCATTATCTCAGATAACTGCCATGCTACTATTTCCGTCATCTGTTAACATTTTCTCAGATAACTGCCCTGCTACTATTTCTGTCATCTGTAACCATTATCTCAGATAACTGCCATGCTACTTTTTCCGTCATCTGTAACCATTATCTCAGATTCCTACCATGTTCATCCCGCCTGTTGTAATCCTGGACTAATAGAATCTATCATTGGGTTAGATAGAGGATAGGGAAATCCCAACCCGAGGGTGATCGGTTCCATCGGGATCGAGCCTTGATTATTTTTCTCATTCATCAGGACACACAAGAAACAAAATATAAATATCAGTGAAACTACTTGCTACGCGCATTACAACGTACTGAAAAGCGGGGCGGGGCTTAGGCGTATGTACGTCCGCAAAAAATTCTACTGACCAAGATTATGTGTGAAAAATTCAATGAAAATAAATTCATATGACATCCCTCATCAAAAAGCAAGGTTATCATGATAAAACATGTCAATATTAAAGTCGGAAAGTGTCATAATATAAGTGTTTATAAGCATTCAGTCCATACTTCAACGGTTGACAAAAGCGTTTACCGTTTGCAAAGATTTTTCTACTTGTTCGGTTATTTTGGCCGAATATTCAATTAAAATATATCAAAATGAGATTCGTCATCAAGAAGCATCGTTATCATAACAGAAAACATAGATTTTAAGGCAAAGTGTCATAATATCCGATTTTACGAAGAATTTTGCGATATTTTAAAGTGTGCTATTTTTAGTAACAGATTGATATTGCAAAGGGCGGATCTAGGTAGAGCAGGACCCATTGCAGTGTGAAAGTTAATATCAATCTATTTTGATTCCGTGGACAATTTAATAAATTAGCTCACATATTTTTAATACAATTTGACCTTTTGACGTTTCATTTTTGTTAAAATAGGAGTGAATTGCGTATGTGTAGGAATACGTTTTTAGAAGTGCTGCACGTTGAGTGTGAGATAGGCCCATGTGAGATATGATTTACCAACACCGCTATTTTTAGTAACATTTACGGATTTTTCTATCTGGTTAGTAAGAATTATACTTCATGTTTATATTTCGTTCATTTTCAAATTTCATACTCATGTAATATATGCTCCTCCTCATACTATTTCCTCTCTCATGTTACCACTTAGTACACCTTTCTAATTGTTACACCTCATGCCCGTTTCTCATACTACCATAACACATATTTCATCTCATACATGCTGGACAGCCCTCCTGTAATGTGCTATTTATCTGACACTACTGCCTCCACCTGCATTATCAAATCTCGATACTGTTCTGATTTGTTATGCTTACCCAAAACGACGTTTTTCATACTTTTTATACTTATTTCTTATGTTGCTATTTCTTGATTAGTACTTCTATTTCATTTTGCTGTGATTTGTTATTTATCGTTTCAGGATTTAGTTATGATTTCACAAGGATATCAACTACAGTATAATCAACTACAGCCGTATAACCAGCAGCAACCAACAACAGCCACTACAATTATTAGCTTCTAGCCAGCCAATGCATGGCCAGTTCTCTACGCCATACGGTTACAGCGGTTAGCAGTCAACCAATGTGGAGAAACCTGACAAGTTCGACTCCATGAACAGGCTCAATCAAACCGAGCCTGCAACATTTTCAATTTTGTTGTGTTGGACTTTCTTTAGGGATTCTGTTTTTCTCTATTCTATTCAGTAGTGACCCTTGTAGCAACTTATAAAAACCCAAAGAAACTAATAAATGTAAATGAATGTAAATAATTTACAATATTTTTCTCATACATTAATTTTTTGAATAACCTTTTGTGTTGTACATTCTGATTTATTTACACTTTTTTATCATTAATATTTTGCTGATTAATTTAATTTTGCTTTAAAGTTTGTTTGATTAACACTTAAAAAACTATATTGTATTGTTTTATGACGACAGATGATTTTCCATTGCATTTTAGTAGTTAACCTGTTTGTCTCTTTTCTTTTCTTAATTAAATAAAAGCAATGAAAGAATGATTTATTTATTCAGTGTTGTTAGATTTTTAGCTATTTCACCATCGTTCTTATGAGTTTTAATCGTCATAACTTCGTGTTTAAATCAGCGTGTCATAGTACCATCGCGTTTTCACCATAGTACCATCGTACATCGCGGTAAAGGATGAAATAAAATCACGATTGGCCAAACGGAACACCGTATATAACAGTGCTAGATATTGTGAGAGAATGGTGTTGCATTTTCCATTATCTCTAATGAACAGGCTCGAAAAAGAAGAACTTTTTTATGTGGTTAGTAAGCTCAGAGTGATCACACCTGACTTTAAACATAACTTTGAATGCCGTCAAATAAAGATGAGCAATATTTTTTCGATGCCAATAACACGGGGTTAAGGTCAAGTAAGACCCAATCTTAATATTGCCAAGTGTGAAGTAAAGTTATGCGGCCAGAGAAATGAACCTAACCGACGTTAATATACTCAAGTCACATCTGTTGAGCTGTGAAAACTTCCAAATGCTCTCCCAGATACGCTCCCTGAGGCGCCCCAAAATGCACCCCCAAATGCGCATGCGTAATCCGATTGATAAAAAGAATACTTGAATATTGAATAATACGCATACTTATCATAATAACTCAAATCGATATGCAAGTTGGGCTCATCGGCTCTTCCTTGTTACCCCAGATGATAACAAAAAAGTAGTTAATGAAAGAGCGGCATTTAAAGATTGGCATCCGATACATTCAACTGACTGTTAAAACAACTACCATTAAAAATATTAGGAACTAATACATAGTCATTTAGTAATACGAAAAAAGAAATGGAAACTGGCAAGTACCGATCTACGTTAAAACGATGAGAGTAACGTCTTCTTCGTTTAAGCTACCCTTGTATTTATACGGTAAATGGAAAGTGGCGCTTGTGCAATATCATGCTACGGAGAAAAGAGGTTTGATCAGCAAGGCTGGCAGATGAAGGACTTTATTATTGCGTTAATATTAGGACTAATATTCAATCATTTATTTTTTTCTTTTAGTTCCTTATCAGTTACTAATTATTTATTCGTATGTAGTAGTTTGCCTGCCCGTGCTCTGCCATATGCCCTGTCCTATTTTTGTTTGGGGTCCTCCTGGGCTCCTTTCCACTGACGCTTGTTACTGGGTCGGGTGGGGGCTGCGTTCATTGAACACCGCCTTTCCTTCTCGATCTTGTATATCATATTTTATGCCGACACAGTTTTGTTCAAAAAAGTATCCTGAATAGAGACTAATGCCGCTTATAAGGCGCATGAAAAAAATGCGGTAAAGAAACAAGAGCCACGCGACTTTGAAAAGCAGTACTTTAGACTATGATTTTGTTGTTAATAATAAAAATTATACGGGCATATATCATGATCTTAGTGGTAAGATTGTAAGTAATCTAGGATAGATAATAGATCATTGGAATTAGATAGATAAATTGTATTCTATCTTATTTTAATATTTATAAACATACCTTTCGTATCAGTTTACGCAAAGCCAACGAAATTCGATAGGAAAACAACTGTTGACAATACCCTCTTTTTCAAATGAAAGTATCGGGTTTCTAATGCAGTCACGCCCTGACAGTTTCTCACGGGATATATACACTGCGGTATACCGTACCCCGGATATTGCTCGATATTATGAGGACTTTCATCCCATTTCGCGACTTTGAACGGGGAACGAAGGTAAGTTCAGCGAAGATATTTTCCAAACTAATGGCTATTTCATTTATCTCAATGGGTTTTATATATCTAGAGGTATTTCTGTAGCTCTAAAAGACGTAAAAGTATTACAGGTATTTGTAAAATTGATTAAACTACCCCTAAACGATCCGCTGCTCACTAGAAAATACTGACCGCGATACTGTAGAATCGTTAGAAATTATTATATTACCAATATAAAAAAAATTGAATCGAGCAATTTTTTTATTCTCAATCCAAGTATGCCTTGTCCAAATTTCAGGCAAAAAGTGTGAAAGTACAAAAAGATACAGGCCAAAAAAGATACAAGAAAGTGTACCGAGTATTGATTTTAAGTGTACAGAGTATTGCAAAATAGCCCAACTTTAGTGTACAGAGTATTGCAAAACAATATGAGCACATTAGTATGGAAAATCGATATTTTTGTCTAATTTTCACGTCTGTTTATCGATTATTTCTCAAAATTGCCAAAAATCTCTATTTTGCGTTGTTTTTTCCCATCAAAACTGATTTCAAGGTGCACCAACTTCTCAATTGATTGAGATAAAGTCTAAGGTTTTCGGCGTTGATTACACGGTACCTTTAAATCGACCTGAGGCCATTTAGCCCCCCACAAGTCCCAAGTCTTCTCGACGATTAGAGGGGCTGCTGCCCCACTTCAAACCCCCAAACAGAAGGGGGCACATCCCCCCTGTGTAACCCCCTTGATGTACCTTTTTAATGGGGGTGGCGCCGAAAAAGTGATCACTCTTTTGAACAACATTTCTCAAACGAAAAAACAGTGTTTGGGGCCTAAATAGCGCATGTTTTACACTATTTGAGGCCTAAAAAGGGTTGGGGTGTAAAGCCTTCAAAACACGCCTTTATGAGGTAAAAGGTTATAAATAAGGAACATAACCTTTTTATTGCATCTGCTGCCCTTTATCATAATCTTATTCGGTTTTTTGAGCTGTACCCGCTCGGCAGTCATACGGTAACTCATTGCTAAGGCGTAACAAAATTTACGTGTAGACGGTCTGCCGTTGCTAGAGTGCAGGTGCAAAATGCCCGAAAGTTACCTTTATATGGATTTTTGGCATACTAGTAGGAAGTCGGTTGATATTAGATATTGGCACACTTGCTCAATACCGTCTAATATTGACAATCTTGAGGCAGTTTTAATGCACTTTGGATGCATTTTTTTACTATTTAAAGTAAGATATGCAAAAATTATTAACAAATTCTGGAAAGGTTGATCCTTCGATAGCAACGAGAACATTTTAAACACAGAAAACTGAGATTTTTCACGAGCAGGAATAAAAATCTGGATTATTCGCAGATGTTTCCAGTAAAGTACCTCCGAATTCTGCATATTCTGCACATATAGCGTAAATAAGTATACACAGTAAGAAATATTTAAAATTAAATGTGGTAAATACTTTGTGTTTACTACTTGCATTTACTCTTTATTGATAACCAATACTCGTTACACTAAAAAGCAATACTCGTGACACCGGCGGGCAACTCCAAAGCAATACCCAGTACACTGACATGTGTATTTATTTTCAAAATGCACTGTCATCTGAGGTTCTATTGTTGATTGAACATTTACAACATAAACATTATCATCATTATCACATTTCACTCGATTCAAGTTTTTCTTTTAAGGATGTATATGCACAAAAACATCAAATTTGACTGATCCGAGCTCATTTATCACGTGAGCAAAGAGACGAATTTTACCTCCTAATCACATTTCAAAGCTATTTCTCAACATTTTTGGGGTTTCATTAACTAGAGAAATTATCGAAGTATTTGTATTTCTACAAATTTTATATCTAATCAATTCAAAATGACTAAATATCGTCACTAAACATACCTTCTTTCCTCGTTCAAAGTCGCGAAATGGGATGAAAGTCCTCATAATATCGAGCAATATCCGGGGTACGGTATACCGCAGTGATATAGTAATTACAACAATAATACTGATATACAAAACAGCCTTTTATTTTCTGTTAACACCTTACATAATATTATTATAAAACGTATATTATCTACATAAATTCTTTTTGCTGGCATTATATTGTTAAAATTACAATATCGTTGACCGATAAATGCAACAAATTTTGTAACTGAACCAGGGACAATTATTAGTTAATCGAGTACAGATTATGGTTATGTGTAACTGAGCTGTTAACAAAGAATAAATTCTCAAACCATAGTTTTTCATTAAACAATGTATATAGAGAAATGTATGCTAATAATATGATAGTATTTCAGTTTAGAATTTGTACAATGTTAGCTTTTAAAAAGCTAGTATCTACTCGCTCCGTCATTTCTATTTCCTACAGTGTGCTTAAATGTCAAATTGACAGCTATCTCGGTGTAATGATGGAATAAACAAAGAGGAATATTCCATTTCTAACAAGGGGCTAATTGGCCCCAAAGCGATCAACTGAGGACTAAATATATAAAATAGAGAAAAACAGAATCCCTAAAGAAAGCCCAACACCGCATAATTGAAAATGTTGCAGGCTCGGTGTGATTGAGCCTGTTCATGGACGGTACTGTTAAGTGCAAACTACCGTCCATGCCCCCTAGCAACGGGATTCTGTTTTTCTCTATTTTATTGTCACATCCGTGTTATTTGTGCCGTGTGGCGGCTGTAAAAAGTCTCCCCGTACATTTAATCAATGATGTTATATTTTCGATCCTTGAAGATCGTTCAGCACGACATTGTTGTTGTGTTTACATGTTATGTGGAACTTTTAGTTTCAGCTATTTGGACATTTTCATCTTGGGTGGTTCCAGTATTCCTGCTTGAATACTGTATAATCACCCTTAGGACATGTTGCCTGCTTTTTAAATTTGTCTTTTGACGTCTTATCTGTGATATGCAGGCTTCATAACCTCAGATCCCCTTTCAAAATTCCATTTTATTTAGTTCCGCCCATTGTTTTCTCGTTTAGGGCAAAAGCATTCTTTTACTTGGGGACCATACGCCGCTTTTCATGGAATGGCACTACTGTGTCACATTGAAGGTTCCATGATAACCGCCGTATGAACACATCTGCGGATGTTTCTAAAGTCAAAATTTCACCATGTTTGTGTTAAATGTTGAATTCTGCTTAAGCCGGTGCTAGGGGGCGTGGACGGTAACTTGCACTTTCTAATACCGTCCATGAACAGGCTCAATCAAACCGAGCCTGCAACATTTTCAATTGTGTTGTGTTGGACCTTCTTTAGGGATTCTGTTTTTCTCTATTTTAAGCAGAATTCAACATTTAACAC